AAACAAATAACGCATAAGGAATTGCAAATAACGCATGCAAGCCTAAGGAACGGCCGAGCCACTTTTGAAAAGTAAGTGTTCCTTATTCACGCCGCCCACTGTATGGGGGCACGCCAGGAGCCCCAAAAGGTCTGAGAATTTGGGGTCCGGGCCCCTGAGAGACGGCCCCTCAGGAAGGAGTGAGAATGGGGGCTTACAGTCGGGGCCCTGAAGAAGGAACCCTTTTCGTTGGGGAGGGGCTCCGCATTCCTTACTTGTTTCGCATCTTGCCTTGGATACGAAATCGAAGTTCAACTTATGGAGAAAAGGGGCCTCGTTCCTTATTTAGGGTTCCTTAGGTCAACGCCCCGACTGTACTCCAGATCCCTTATTAGTCGACCCCCCCATTAAAAACCGGACCCCCTCCCAAATGCGACCTAATATTCCGGACCCCCCGATTCGACGGGGCGTCTTGTTAAACCGGATCCTCTGAGCTCCGATACAAAGAAAGCGCTCTAATAAACCGAACCCCCCCAGTCACAAAAAGGCGCCTTTCCAAAAAATTGGACCCGGTGGACGATTCATAAGGGATTTGGGTAGTGGATCAGGCACAGGACCTGAGGGCACGCCCACTCCGTGCCCAGAGGCACGGCGGCGGATATGCCTGGCCCCACTTGTGACATCGAGACACGGGCCCTCTGCATACAGGAGCGATGTGCTCGGGCGAAGGGAACCATGCACATGCACAGATCCTGGCAAGGCCCATCCTTGACCCAGGATCGGTGCATATGCCTTCCGAGCCAAGGTAGGAGGGCGTATGCACCGATCCTGGGCTCAGGATGGGCCTGGCCAGAATCGGTGTATGTGCACAGTTCTCTTTCCTCTATGTGCGGGGCCTTGATGCACACCGAGCTCGAGGTGGGCCCTGCTCCACGCATGAGTCCTCCGCGCGCGGTGCGCCCAACACGTTGCCCCACGGGTGCAGGAGGCGTTCACCACGTCCCCAGACAGGGAGGGGCAGGGGGTGGGGCTCTTGGCTTAAGTCGGGCCTGTCCCTCTACAGGAGGAATTTTCAAATAATAGTAAGAAATAGTCAGGGGACGATTTGTTTTAGCATTTGTGACAATTTTGTTGGATTTTTCGACTATTCTAAATTATTCGTCCTCCACCGATCCCGAAACCAGGAGCGACCTGGCCAGGATCGGTGAGGTTGCGAGCCGACGTCCTTGGAGTTAGGTTGGGAAGGTTCTCCTGCAGCCGTATTTTGGCAGAAGAGCATAGACAAAACGAATAAAACAATAGAAAAACGGTTTCCCGACTATGTTTTACTATTTTTGAATATTCTGCACCAACCAAGCCCGCCCGCCAGACCACCCCAACCCCTCCCGAAGGCCCCGATATGTCCTCCATTTTCAGTGGGGCGGGGGCTCGGGGAGCACGGATCAAAAACACAGATGTGAAGCCCGTACCCCCCCAACCCGACGTTCGGGTCTTCGGGTTGGGCTGGGTTGGTCTGGTGGGTAGTCCGTGGAGAGCCGACGTCCTCTGAGGCGGGCGACCAGCCTGGGAGCTGCCGAGGCGGGCTCGGCGGCCCATCGCCGGACCGCCCCGGCCGGCCCGGCCGCCGCCGTCCGAGGGGCGCCGCGCCCGCCCCCCCCCGCCAAGTCGCGGGCAGAGCGCGCGCCCGCGCGTGCGGGGCGGGGCCGCGAGCGAGCCAATGCCCAGGCCACGCCAGGCGAAAGGAGCACGTTGTCATCATTGGGCGCCGCGTAATTGGGGGGGTCATAAAATGGGGGGGTGGCGAGGGTGGTTCGAAAAGGTACGCAAACGGTACCTAAACGAGCCCCCTGGGGCTCTGGAGGGGCCCGAAAGGGGCACGAAAGGGGACCGTTTCTGACCCCCCCGTTTATGACCCTCCCATTAAGTCCCGCTCGACATCAAGAGCAAGAGATCCTCTAATCCTGATGACACGATGAAGACGTGGCCTCAGACATAATCCCGTCGTTAAAGAATCAGGACGGGAGGGTTTGGCAATTTTCGGCCTCAGGGGGCCCTCGCACGGCCTCGGGACCGTCAAAAAACGACTCAGGCTCAAAAAACCGGTCCCGGGGAAAGTGTCGGGATTTCCAGGAACCCCTTATTGAAAAATCAGGGCGTCGCATGTTTGGAGCCTCGCTGAGGTCCCACTCCCTCGTATTAGGGTCAATGAATCGCTGCGGTTTGGTTCGATGCACCTGCAGCAAGGACCCCCTATCCCCGCTGTTCCTGGCCCTCCTAACTGGAGACCCCTCCCAAAGGGCTAGGGGTCCTTTTATGCCTAATCATCGCTGTCGACGCGCCGCTGCAGCCGCCGTCGCCGCCGCGGCCGCAGCCGTCGTCTATCGTCGATCGCCGATCATCGAGCTCCTCTCCTCCTGCTGTAATGTAGCGAGCCTCTCTGACGGGGCCATCTGGGAGCTCGGTCCTTGAGTTACGTGGTATGCCCCCTGCCGACCCTAGTGAGAAGGCAGGGCTGTAGCACAACAAATCGCATGGGATTTTGGCAGTAGCGCGTAGGTCGCCTGAGTAGGTGCTCTGACGTTCCATCCCCTCATGCGGATGTCCTTGTCATTGTCCTCCTCCTGCTCCTCCTCCTCCTGCATCTTCTCTGGGCACTGGTGGGCAAAACTGCGTCGCGGACAAGACGCCTCTTTGGAAGGCTTCTTGGGGTCTTTTGGGAGGCCTCTCGGGGGCCTCTTGGCGGCATTTTTGGACTCCCTGTGGCCTCTTGGAGGCCCCTGTGGGGCATTGTTTTGGGCTTGCCAGAGCCTCTTGAGGGCTTCTTGGGGGCCTGCTGGCGGTCTTCGGGGCCGAATTTCTTGGAAGGCTCGATATGCCTGTTCGGATTCCCCCTCCTGGGGCCTTCATGAAAGCCTCTGGAGTCCTCTGGGTAGGCCTCTGTGGCCGTCGTGGGGCCCTCTTGGGCTGTCTGGGTGCCGTCCTGGGAGCCTCTTGGGCTGACTTGAGGCGATCGTGGAGGCCTCTTGGGCCGTCCTGGGCGGTCGGAAGCATGACCAGGAGGTAACGGCAACATCTAGTTAACGAACCCAAGCAAAATCAATGATTTTTGTTTTTTCTCGCCCACTTGTGTTCGTCTTGGAGCCCTTTGGGGGCTTTTGGGCGCCTCAGGGACCGTCTTGCGACCAACTTGGACCATCTTGGAACGCTCTTGGCCGTGAGGCCGTGGGGCCTGCCACCCATTTGGCCCCCCTCCTTGGAGACCTCCTGGGGCGCTCTGGGGTTCCCCAGTGCGCCCAGAAGTTCCGGCATCCGTGACCCAGACTTGCCGGAAATTTGCCGAGACCTTCTTGCCAGGGTATGATTCTTCCAGGGACCCCCAGGGTATGCCGCGGGCGCGTGAACGAGTAGCATTCTTACATTCTTACAGGACATCCTTAGCACGCCCCTGGCCTGTGGGGCCGGCGAATTATTCGCATGCGGAGGGATAGAGAACGTGTTCCTCGGATTTCGAACTACGTCCCTCCTCAATCCTCGATCCTGGAGAAAGCAAGAGAGTGTACCTGGCTGGAGGCCTTCAGGTGCGTCGCCGCCAGCGCTGACGTCGCTGTCGCCGCCGTCGTCATCGCCAGTCGTCGGTCTTCGCGAGTCGCGAGACGTCGCTGCCGCCGCCATCGCCAGTCGCCATCCGTCGGTCGTCGCTTGTCTGCCCCCAGTCTTCGGGCATCATGTGAAGCAGGGCTGGACCTAAACGCTGTTTTGGCGATTTCCAGGGCCGTTGTCGTTTCGATTCCGTTTTGCGGTAAAGGCGAATCGAGGACAACACGAGGGAAAACGAAAACAACGCAAACGAACAACACCGTTTAGGTTCTGCCCTGATGTGAAGATCGTTCTGAATTCAGTTTGCAAGATGGTTGCGTACACAGATTCGCGCAGGCGGAATGTGCGGCGGGATTGCAACAGAGCCACCCCGTCTCCGCAGCCGGTTGCCATATATATATATATATATATATATGTATATGCCCCACAGAATGGCAGTGCTAGCAGCACGCTGCGCACCGCACACGGGCGTTGGCTCTCCACTGTTCCCGATGCATGGGCCCCCGGATATTTGGACGACGACGACCCGTTTTCCGTCCCGAGCCGTTGACGGTCCCGGAGCCCGTGGAGAGCACCAGGAGGGTGAAAACGGCCCCAGACCGGCCGCTCCAATGTTTCAGGAGTCGGGCGGGGTTAGGACGACGATAATTCCGTTCCAGGGCGCTCCGGACCGCTCCCAGAGCGTTCCAGGACGCTCCGAAGAGGCCGCGGCCGCCGAGACATCTTCCAGAGCCGCCAGATCTGAGCGATTCTCGGGGTAGTATTGTCCACGCCCTGGCTTTCGCTTCCCAGGTCGGCCGCTCCAGCCTCTGACGGAGCGTCGGATCTCCGGGAGGCCCCTGCGTGTCGTCAGTCGAGGAGGAGGAGGAGGAGGAGGAGGAGGAGGAGGAGGAGGAGGACGAGGACGAGGACGAGGAGGAGGAGGCGGAGGCGGAGGAGGAGGAGGAGGAGGAGGAGGTGGAGGAGGAGGAGGAGGAGGAGGAGGAGAGAAGACGAGATGAGGTGAGGATGAGGAGGAGGATGAGGATGATGATGATGATGAGGAGGAGGAGGAGGAGGAGGAGGAGGAGGAGGAGGAGGAGGAGTAGAAGCCCCCCCCGCGCGGCCGCCCTCGTCTCGTTTCATCCCTCTTGCACGCCGGACAGTTCGCATCTCGGCCGCGCCGATGCGCCGCACGCTGGAGGCGACTGCCTCTGCCTCGCCGCCGACGAACCAAAAAGTGTGCCGTCGCTCTCCCCGGGGCCGCGCCGGGCGCGGGCGCCCCCCGCGGGCTTCCCCCTTCCCCCTCCCACTCCGTCCCCCCCCTTCTCCCCCCTGCGCCGCCTCCGTTGTTCGTCTGTCGCCCGTCGTTCGTCTGTCATGTCGTCCGCCACTGGGCTTGCTGGCCGTCTCGTCGCCCTCCCCGCTCGCATGGGCCGGGAGAGGCCTCGAGGTGCGGGACCTCGACGGGCTGGTGGCGGTGCCGTCCCTCTCGGAGCCCCGCTTCATGGAGGCGCCGGCGAGCGGCTCCGGGGCCCGTCGCCGTGGGCGGAGAGCACACTCCAGATTTCCCCACCCCGAGGGAGAGGAGGAGGAGCACAAGAGGAGGAGGAGGAGGAGGAGGAGGAGGAGGAGGAGGAGGAGGAGGAGGAGGAGGAGGAGAGGAGGAGGAGGAGGAGGAGGAGGAGGAGGAGGAGGAGGAGGAGGAAGAGGAGGAGACGAGGAGGAGGGAGGAGGTGGAGGAGGAGGAAGAGGGGGCGGAGGAGGAGGAGGAGGAGGAGGAGGAGGAGGAGGAGAGGAGGAGGAGGAGGAGGAGGAGGAGGAGGAGGAGGAGGAGGAGGAGGAGGAGGAGGAGGAGGAGGAGGGAGGAGGAGGAGGGAGGAGGAGGAGGAGGAGGAGGAGGAGGAGGAGGAGAAGGAGGAGGAGGAGGAGGAGAGGAGGGGGAGGAGGTAGTGGAGGAGGAGGCGGAGAAGAGGAGGAGGAGAGGGAGCAAGATGAGGAGGGAGGGGAAGGAGCAGGAGGAGGAGGAGGAGGAGGAGGAGGAGGAGGAGGCAAAGGAGGAGGCAAAGGAGGAGGGAGAGGCGGAGGAGGAGGAGGGAGGGAGGAGGATGTGGAGAACGAGGAGGAGGAGGAGGAGGAGGAGGAGGAGGAGGAATTACGAGGAGGAAGGGGAGGAAGAGGAAAAGGATGAGGAGGAGGAATAGGAGGAGGAGGAGGATCAGGCGGAGGGGGAGAAGCAGGAGGAGGAGGAGGAGGAGGAGGAGGAGGCGGAGGAGGAGGAGGAGGAGGAGGAGGAGGAGGAGGAGATGGAGCAGGATGAGGAGGAGGCGGAGGAGGAGGAGGAGGAGGAGGAGGAGGAGTGGAGACGGGGTATACTAGAAAGGGCTTGGCGTCGCTCGAGTGATTGCATTTTTTCCTGGCGAGGACCATCGTTGAGTATCCTGGATCATTTTGGGAAGACGTGCACTGGGAATGGGCGTCCGAGCGATGGCAGGAGGGAGGGGGTCACAACCCTCCCAAACGAACAGGTTTAGGCCCCCTCCCAGACCAACCATGAGAAGGCGGCCTCCCCCCTGGAACCCTGCAAGGCAGCTCCGATCATACCCCCTCCCGAACCAGACCACCCCCCTCGTATTGTGACATCCGGGGCTCGCATCCGCGGCCTTGCGGATGCGGGGTGTTCTTTCGCGCATGCCCCGTGCCCGACGTCTCCGTGCGACGGCGCGTCCGCGGGATCGCGCCCCCGAGCCCAGATCGCGAGGGCGTGGATGCGAGTGGGTCGGGGGCCGAGGCTCGAGGGTCGGGTCGGACGAGAGAAGGGTCCCTGAGATCCAGGCGCTGCAGATTGTCCACGGCGGGCGTTGTTGTCGGATTTCGGGCCCCTGGACCCTCACAAGTCGATCTGGCTCGGGGCCCTCTTGTGGACCTCATGGGCTGTCTTGGAGCTATCTTGGAAGCCCCTGGGCCGGCTTGGTCGGTCGGAAGCCTAACTAAGCGAGCACTCCAAATCATTCAAAATCCTTCAAAGACCTACGACAAAGCAGTGGATTTGGCCTCGGGCTCTCTTGGAGGGCCTGTTGGAGCCCTTGGGCCGTCTTTGGAGCCTTTTGAGCTGTCTTGAGGCCGTCTTGGGAGCCGTTTGAGTTGTCTTGGTCCATCTTGGGTCGTCTCGGTGTCATCTTGACTCCCTTGGAAGCCGTCTTGAAGAGGCCACCCTGGCCAGTTGGTGGCCGAACTGAGCGGCGGAAGGAACGATCATAAGGGGGCGATCTATGAACAGCGCGTGCGCGGAGGGGGGGCCTAATTAGAGCATTCACACAAAAAGAAGTCATCCCAGGCAGCCGACGACCCTCCTAACATGCCCACTCCGTGCAGCATAGTGGTGGATGTCTGAGAGGTGGAGAGGGAGAGAGAGGTATCTCGCCCCCCCATCTCTCGCGCAGGGGCATGCTCAGGAGTGTGCTGGGCCAGGCGAGCTGAGAGCCGCGGGGCGGAATGGAGCGAAACGGAGCGTCATTCAAGTGTTGAATCGGGCCTGTCCCTCTACAGGAGGAACATCCAAACATAGTCAAAACGTAGTAGAGGGACGTTTTGTGATAGTATTTCCTGACATTGTTTTGATTGGTTCCCATTTGTTAGTTTTCGTCCAACATCCGCCTGTAGTAGGGGGACATGCCCGACCTAAGTCAAGTGGCATCTTTGGTTGAAAAGAACCTTGCCTCATCTCCACCGTGGGGTTGAGGGGGGCAGGGATGTTGTTCTAGGTTGTTTTGTGTCGGCTCCGTGGGCGACACGTGTTACATCCTCGCCCCCCCCCTTTCCCCCCGTGACGGTCACGCCTGGGAACCAGCCACAGGCGTGAATCTTCGCAGGTTCCATCGGTTCAGGCATCCCCATGAGGGAGGAAGAGGAGGAGGAAGAGGAGGAGGAGGAGAAGGAGGAGGAGAAAGGAGGCGGCGGCGGCGGCGGCGTCGGCGCCGGCGTCGGCGTCGGCGTCGCCATCGTCGTCGTCGTCGTCATCGTGGTCGTCGTCTCCGTCGTTGTCGTCGTCATCCTGGCGTCGTCGTCTTGTTCATTATATTGCAAGTTGTTCCACACAAGTGCCGTGGCGTCGACAGGCGCTGCGCTGTTGTGTACACCATCGCTTTGGTGCACGCAGGCTCTGTGATGTACAAAAACGGTCCAGTGCACGCAGGTACTGTGGTGTGCAATGGCACTGTTGTGCACGCGGGTGTCGAGGTGCACAGAGGCG